ACCGATTCCAAAAATATTCAATAGCTTACAATGGGACCACAATACCTATAGTTTGACGTTAAAAAAAAATTCCAAATCGGGTCAATGATTCCCAAGAAAATGAGCCCTGATGAATAGCTAATGCGTGGAAAGTGAACTTTTTTTTTTAAACGAAGTTAAACTCAAATTTCTTGGAGTTGGTTGGAAATGCTAACATGAAGCTTTAGTGTGATGATTTATTAGCTAGAGAATGATCTTTAGAAGAGGGTAGGTGGATAGTTCCGTTAGAGTACGGCAGTATGAAAATTGAATAGAAGTTGAAAATGAGCGAAGGGCCATTAATGCGACAGTTTTTAGAGATAGACGCACATTTTTGCCTAACCCGTACGATGTACGCGGGGACTCGAAGTATGTCTCCAAGTCCACAGGCAAAAATGTGCGTCCCTCTTTTTGCTCATAAACTGACTGCGGCTGTGGAATAGTTCTAGCGACGTTTTCATCACTACCTAAAGCCCCACGTTGCGAGAGCATTTCCAGTGGATGGTGTGTTATAATGCAGTTCTTCTTTACCCAACTATTGTGTTGCTCCTCTCGTCATGACCAACGTGATCATCTCAGAGAGAAAGCAGTAGGGTGGTAGTTGCGTGCTGTACCATCATCAGCATTGTTGACGGCTACTCCCGCATTGAGTTGTTACATTCAAAGTGTTTTTTATGTTACTTCATACGCGAAGTTAACGATTTTCAAATCAAATTTCTTGATTTTTTTCAATAGCAAATTCATAAAAACTGTATAATAAGAGTTTTGACATGATACCAATAAGCTCTAAGCAAAGTTTTTGAACAAATATGGGCTAAACTAGCATTTGCAAAAATAGGTCCAACCATCATCATTTTTTAGGTCCAACCAAGATCAGTATAGGTCCAACCAACATCATAATTCTTTGCTGAATAAAAACGTTTTATAAAATCATTTGTTCATAATATTTAACTTTTTATGTTATTATTAGAAACAAGAAAGGTAGATCTTTCAACTAATCACGCATTTTTCATAATTATATATAATTAAATACGACATGAATATTGACGTCGTGTGAAACCGGCCTAAATAGGTCCAACCATCATCAGTTACCCTAGTACCTATCCTTCAAAAACTAAAAGTTATTTTTACTTCTATGGTGCTCTATGAACTTAACGGTTCCGAGGAACTATTTTTTTGATTATCCATTGGGGGGGGATTGAGCTCTTCATTTTTCTTCTCCTGTTTTTGTTTTCTTCTACATCGCTTAGTATTGCACCACATCAGCCCATTTTTCGTTGCTGGTAGGTCAGTTAGGTTTCAGGCTGTTCGGTCTCCGGGGTTGCCACGCCCATTTCCACCACCTCTATCCCTTCCTCTGTTTTCTGGCAGTTTCTGTCTAACAATGCATCTCCAGCCGCTATACCACCGTACGTACTGCTATCCAAACGAGCGGCCATTGCTCTGTTCTTTGTCCTTGCCTTGCTTTTTATTGTCTTTTCATGGTTTTTTTTTCTCCACTTCCGGTTGCTTTTCCAGCTTCAGCTACTGCTTCCGCTTGGGGCAGGAATTCAAAAAAAAATTAACTACTAGTAAATAAACATTTTTGATGCATTTACTGACTTATTCATCAAAATGCTGAAATAAAAATACTGAAAAATTCAGCAAAAAGTAAAGGTAAACAAATAAATTACTGATAAAGACAGCAATTCTGCGATTTACAGAGCTTTCAGTAAAAGTAAAAGTTAAAACTACTGGGTTGATTAATAAAAACTCAGCTGTTAAAAAAACCCAATAAAATTTTACCGACTTCGGTAATCTAAACTTTGTGTGTAGTCGGTTGGCTGTGCCCATGCACCTTTCATAATCTCAGTGCTAGCTGGTGTTACTGATTGTTTCCCCACTTGCGTTGCAGCTTAGACAGTATACACTGAGGCAAATAAACGTAAGAATTTCATAATGCTCGGCTTATGAACGACACATATGAATTTCATATGCGTGACTTATGAATGATTTTCGTCTATTTTTTTATATCTTTATTAAGGAGACTTTCAGCCCTGGGCTGCTTCGTCTAACATGAGGTAGCTCTTATACGGCTTTAATCATTTCATTTTCCCAAGCTTTGAAAGACGAGTGGTAACGGTGCCGGTGGTGTAGTGGTAAGCGAGATTTTTTTTTTTTTTCTTTATTTTTGTGATTTTTAGCCGTAGGCTAGTTCATCACATAACAAGAGCGAGATTGCCTCTCACCGCAGTAGGCCTGGGCGCCACCGAGATGTTCTAAGGCATAACATCTCTGATCACGCCTTCCTTCGGAAGGGAAGTCAAGCCGTTGGTCCCCGGTTCATGAGTTGATGGTCGATAGGTAGGGTCTAGGTGTGGGAGCTGCCTCCCTGGCCAAGGTAACATTGGTGCTCAGCACGGAAAGCAAGATCGATGGAAAACAAATCAAGGAAAAAAATAAAAAAGACCAGTGGTCATGTTTCACACGGCCCCCGTGTCCATGGTTCAGTGGTCATGTTTCACACGGCCCCCGTGTCCATGGTTCGGTACCAGTCTGCTTCATTTTTTGTCAACATTATTTTTCATAAGGCAAATCAATGAAATTCATACTGATTTCTTGTGGCTAAAATTCATAAGTGGTTCTTATGTAATTTTTACGTTCTTTTGCCACAGTGTATGAGCGACTGCCCTGCTGATGGCATCCACCTTTCTCTCTAAACACATTTCCTCGACGGCATTATATGCGCAAAGGGCAGGCATCTTCCTTCGCACAGCTTCAAATTGAGGACAGTCGAAGATCAAGTGCGCTGGCGTTTCGTCCACATTTCCACACTCCGGACAGAGGGGTGAAGTATCGCTGCTCTTCTCTCCATTTACGCTGCAGCTCCGTCATAATCTGCGTGACTGCTCTGTTGACGGCATTCCAAGTACCCTCCTCTCGACACATTTCATCGACGACATTCTCCACGTTAAGGACGGGCATCTCCATTCGCACTGTCTCGAACCTTGGACTGTTGAAGACCACATGCTCCAGCGTTTCATCAACGGTGCCACAATCCGGACAGAGGGGTGACGCTGCGTGTCCGAACCAATGCAGGTATTTCCTGAAGCAGCCGTGGCCAGACAGGAACTGCGTTAGGTGGAAGCTGACTTCTCCGTGTTTTCTGTTCACCTTGGTCGAAATAATCGGTATTAGTCGATGTGTTCATCTACCGTTCTCCACCGTGTTCCACTCCTGTTGCCACTTAGTCAACGATTCCACTCTCACAGCCGAGCTCACAACGTACTTTTTTGGATTCTCTCTGCCTGTAGCACTCGCTGTCCTCCGCCAGGGTGATGCCGATAGGGATCATTCTGGTGGTAACGCATACTACTTCCGATGAGATGTTTCTGTACGTACTCACGACTCGCATGGCCATAAACCGGAACGTACTGCTCAGTTTCCTTTGGTTCCGCTTCGTTTCCAGCGCTGGACCTCCATACCTCAGTATCGACTACGACACACTGGCCAGAAGACGCCTCTTGCTATTGCTGGGACTAGCGTTGTTCGACATGATTGTAGTTATCGCGTTGATAACCTTCGAAGCCTTCTCACAGGCATATTCGACGTGGCTATTGAAGTTTAGCCGGTGATCGATCATCACTCCCAGGTATTTTAACATACGCTTCGAGGCTATGCCGTGCTCCCCGACGGTGATTTCTGCCAGCTGTACCGCATTACAGTTACTGACCAATAGCCCTTCCGTTTTATGGTGAGCTATCTGCAGCTTCGCTCCTTGCATCCAGTTACCAATCATGACGATCACCTCGGTTGACAACACTTCCACCTCTTCCAGTGTATCGCACTTTACAGTCAAGACGACGTCGTCCGCAAAGCCAACGGTCTCAACAGCTTTGGGCAGCTTCAGCGTTAGCACGCCGTTGTACATCCCGTTCCACAGCGTTGGACCAAGGATGGAGCTTTGTGGAACTCCTGCTGTGATCCTAATCGACCTCTGTCCCATGTCTGTCTCGTAGACCAGAACCCGGTTCTGGAAATAACTCCTCTGGATCCTGCACAGGTAATCAGGGACTCTCATTTTATACAGCGCTTCGGCGATGGCCTCCCAACTGTCGCTGTTGAACGCATTCTTGACGTCTCTCTCGACCACTGACCGAATTGCATCCACCGTCAATTTCCCCTTCCGGAATCCGAACTGCCTCTCCGACAATCTGTGCTCACTCTCCGTGCATTTTGTCCGCCTGTTTAAGATGATCCTCTCCAAGAGTTTTCCAAGTGTATCCAGCAGGCGTATAGGCCTATACGATGCGGGATCCCCCGGTGGTTTTCCTGGTTTCGGCACCAACACTAACTTCTGTATCTTCCACCTATCATTGAAGTGACCCTCGTCCAGGCATTTCTGCAGCACCATCCTGATCATGTCCGTTTTTTTTAAATTTCCGCTCCCAGATCTCAAACGGCTTCAAATTCACATATCCCTTTTGAAGATTATATGGAAATTACCATAAAAAGTCAATCTTTTTGATCATTGTATTGTATCCTTTTTCCCTAATGCTATGATGAAAAGATCTATAGCTATCCTCATTGGAAATTTTCTCAGCTAAAACTTTGCGCAAAATTGCTATCAAACGTCAAATTAAATAGTGATTATTTATTTAACAGATTTACTGTATTATGCAGTGTGACATAGTAGCCATGATGTTTGTGCTGAGAAATTGATTGGGACTAATCATAAGACATCAGCGACTTGAATCATTAATAACTTTAGTAATAGCTGAGAATATTTTCTACAAGCCCATTATGCATTCTTTAAAGCAGAGCGATATGGTGAATTGTTTGATAGAGATGAACAAGTTGTCTCTCTTCATTCAAACTTCAAATGATTTGTGTCAAGTGAGTTTCTTAACAAACGAGGTGAAGTTTTGGGAGGCTGTTGATGTAATATTAAAAAACCATGCATAATTATACATATTTTCTCAACATTGCTAAACTGTTCACAGGGCATACAATGATTGTTGTTTTCAAGTACTCTGACAATATGGAACTACGAAAAGTTGTGGAGAAGGAAGTGTTATTCCAAGCCATTCTTAACGGTGCATACAGCGTAGACACTTTCTTTTTCATAAGTGGATTTTTGGTTTCGTATATCTACTTCCGAACTAATGCGAAAGGAAAACTAGAAAAACTAACTCAGGGTGTGAACGAGTTTACAGCTGGAACATATCACTTTTTTGGATTAGTTGGCTATCGATTTGTAAGGTGGGTATTATGTAAGGTATGATTTGATTACATTGATAATATTTTTAAATTTTAACAGGTTAACTGCACCGTATCTGTATGTTCTTGGTGTTGTGGAAGTAGTCATGCGATATTTGGAACAGAATTCTGTTTTCGAGCCTCCTACACAGGATCACATAAATTGTCCTAAATACTGGTGGCGCAACATTATGTATGTGAATACACTTTTTCCGGTAGAGCAGATGGTGAGTTCAACTGTTAACCCAATCCAAACAACATTTTCAACATTGTAAACAAACATAAATCTTTTTTTATAGTGTATGCTCTGGAGTTGGTACCTAGCAGACGATACGCAATTTTATATAATTGGAGCAATAATCCTTATAATCGCTGTACGCCATTTCAAGTTTGCTGCTGGAATGCTAACAGTATTCATGATTTCTTCGTGGGCAACCACTGCATATATTGCATTCTCAAACAATCATATGCCCAATGCTGATGACCCTTTCGCGTTATTTGACAAGATCTATGACAAACCATGGACGCGGTTAGGACCTTATTTAGTTGGCATGTGTGTTGGTTGGATATTATTCAGAACTAACTGCAAAATCAGTATGTCTAAGGTAAGTACGCATGTATACTCCCATAAGCTAAACGCGCCAATAGTGGAAGTACGTTAGTGAAATGTGTTTCTATAGAGGCTTATGGAGTCCATATGCCACTATAGGAACAGATCGCACAAACGTACCTTCAGAATTGATGTGTTTACCCTATATGAAACAGGAAAGAGACACAGACAAGCAGATACAACTCTGTGATTCTTTATGGTAAACCACAGCTTATAAAACATACATCTGTTGACCAAAACTACAGTGGATAGATCTCGTAGCGTATGATTTTATTTTATAATTACATATTATTTTAAAAAGACCGTGCCATTCATATTTGCTACTCCGTTACTACTGACTTACTGTAAAATGCCACAGAATACCATGTCGAGAGATGTTATTAGATTTCTATCTTCACTGTCTAGGCTGTTCCATTTTTCAGCAATGGTCTAGAAATGTTTGCTCTCCGTCCATAATTCACTTTCTGTAAGCCTCAGTAGTGAAGACAGCATCATGATTCAAGTTAGTATTATGGAGATATTCGTTCTTAAATTTATATGTGCATTTTGTTCGAACATTGCAACAAAATAGTGGCAGCTTATGCAACGTATCAACTAGATTACCACTAAAAAAATAAAAGTTCATATATGTCAGTAGGTGAGATAACCACACTCTTAATTGTTCAGCTGTTGTTGACCTAACATGGACTGGTTCTTTTGGTTTAATATGGGAGATGGAGGATTTTGGGGCCTCCTTTAGCTCAGTCGGTAAAGGCGCAGCTACAAAGCAAGAACATGCTGGAGGTGGCTGGGTTCGATTCCCGGTCCGGTCTAGGAATTTTTCGGGTTGGAAAATTTCTCGACTTCCCTGGGCATAGAAGTATGATTGGACTTGCCACACAATTATACCAATACAAAAATGGTACATGCATCGAAAGCTCTCAATTAATAACTGTGGAAGTGCATCTAGAACACTTAGTTGAGAGCACGCAATAAGCTAATATGCGATATGCAATAAGTTTGAAATGCGAAGAAGAAGAAGAAGAAGGGGGATTTTGTTGAAGTTTTCATGTACAAAATGCTCATATACATTCAAAAGTGAATATCTCAATAAAATTAACCGGATTCATATTGTAGTCTTGAGCAAAGTTGTTACCCATTGTTTGAAGTACAAGTTTTGAAAAACTATATAAAAACGAGAATAAAGAAACTTTTTTATAATCGAAAGATTTTATCTAAAATCCCCATACAAAATTCAAACTAAAAGTGTTTCAAACCCATACAAAATTCATCCTACAACCAAATGATCTAAAACTTTCAGAGAAAAATTTTCTCACCTAAAGGAAAATATAGAACTTTTATTTTTGTGGGCCAGTCTAATAATGAGTGTGACCATGGATGTGCTCATAATTTATTATTCAAATAATGTCCATGCTCATAGTTGGTCGTACAAGTGTATCCGCGGCATTAGGCTGTCTTTCAATGAGCACTTGAACGTCAAATTTTCACCGGAAAACATAGGAATGACTTTTGATATCAAAATAGCCCATATTACATGATATCAGCTATAGTCTGAAAGTACTTCAATCATTGGCTAACTAAGGGGGCTGAGGGGGGCTGAGGGGGGCTACTATGTGTCAGAACTTTCAAAACGATGATAGTGTCAAAATGTTGCACGGTGAGGTTTTATGTTTCGAAGATAATGACTTGTTTTTCTTTAATACTATGGAGGAAGATAACTCAAGGAATACTAGATTGACGTATAATTTAGCACGGTGAATTATAAGGTACGATTATTTGTATCGTTTATTTGTGGCAAATACAAACGATTTTCAGTGACAATTTTTGTTGCAATATTTTAGATAATTCAATATGGAAGTATTAGGTAAGTATTTACACTGGGAAACATGTGCCAGAGACGAACCAGCGTTCGACTGAAAATTTCCTTAATAGAGATAACTAACTACCTCACTGGGAAACATTTGTTCACCTCTATAGAATATTGGAAAATAAATTACAGTGATTTATATTATTTTTTAGAAAGATATTTAATTTTGAGATGATACAAACTCATGAATTTTACGGTATTTATAAAAAGAAAAAGATTGCAGCCTAATGCCTCATTGTATTTTGTAGGTTGTTGTGATTTCTGGATGGACTGCATCGACAGTGATGATGCTTTATTTATTATTTGGTTTGTTCAACACTACGTTAACGCAGTTAGCCGCAGCAGCATACAGTTCACTTAGTCACACTGCCTGGGCGATGGCATGTGCCTGGGTCATCATTGCCTGCTCAACAGGCCATGGAGGATGGGTGAATAATCTTCTATCAGCTCCTCTATTATATCCCTTTTCCAGAGTAACGTACTGTGCCTATTTAGTACATCCGATAGTCAACAGGATATATGCAATGGAATCAGATTCGCCTATCCACATGTCACCGAACAGCTTAGTAAGTACTCTGCTGATAATCGCAAAAGGGTCATTGATTTCTTATTATCTTTTCTATTTCAGACTACATTATATCTAGGTCAAGTGGTTTCTTCATATGTATTAGCATTTCTTGTATCACTTTCATTTGAAGCTCCTGTAGTTACGATGCTCAGAATATTGTCACCAAACAGAAAGAGACAGATGTAACATCCGGTGTAGATACAACTTCAACGATCTACTTCTTCACATTCCTTCTTTTCACAAATCATTATTTTATATGAAAATATTTATGCGCAACATTCCTTCCACTTTCAGTTAGACTTTAGGTGCATATTGTAAGTTTGATCATTACTGTGTTGTAAAATAATAAATGACTAGCACCTTTGTGTTCTAAAACGCATACATGGCAAATTTTAGGGACTATTTGAAAACAGAAATCGAATAATGCTCAATGAATTAACAAGTAAATGTAATGACTGACGCTGTTAAATTATATGATCGATGTACACAAGTTACAAAATAAACATTGATATACATTAATTACAAATTTATCAAGATCCATACCATGACCGGCCTTATTGAAGTATCCTTCTCCAACAACGTATACATCTCGATTCGACCTGTGCGCCGCCGCCGCCGCCGCCGACGATTTTCATACGCCACCGTCGCCGATGAAATTAAACCGGCGCGCCGCCGAATAAATTTATGTCACGCTGTTGAAAAATCTGTAGCACCTTTTCGGTAAAATGCATCTTGAACGCGTTGAAATTAGAACTTATGTGTGGTGCAGCGATTGCCATTTATCGGAGACGAGCCAGCCAACGGCTGAAAGTCTCCTTAATAAAGATATATATAAAAAAAAAAGATTGCCATTTAGTTTTTTGACGTTTGTTCGCACTTTCCCGATCTAGCACACAGGAAAGAATCATTCAGGTCGGATTTACATAAAGGTGAATAAGTGAATATAGGGTGTCCCAGAATGTCTAAGCACGACTTTGGAACATCCCTACTTGTTTCAGATGCCGTTTAAACAGCTGATTATCACGCTGAATCATTGTTTACATTTGACCAACAGTTTCGTGTACCGCAAGTGTCGGTTCTTTACATTTCCGTTACAATGCGAACCATTTCTCCGGAAAAGCGCAAACAGATCGTGCACAAATGGTATACTATCCCCCTTTTTTTAATATCTTAATTAGGGAGACTTTCCGCCCAACATTCCTCTGAGTCAATAAGCAAAATTGGAAGGTGTAAGCATCGGAGCCGTTCGATTCGGCGGCTATTCGGAAGTATGGTGATGAAGCAACTTTCCAGGACAAGCAAAAATCTGGAGGTAAGCCGAACCCTGTTGACCGAAATCTGAACCGGAAAATCGTGCAAGCTTTCACTCGCAAGAAAAGGGCTTCGGTTCGAGACTTGGATAGAAAAGTGGGATCCTCGAAAAGTAACGTCCAGCGGGCCAAGGTAAGAATGGGTCTAAAGACGTATGAGAAGCAGAAGAAGCCAAAACGGAGTAAAAAACAAGCCGCATCCGTCAAACCGGTGGTTCGGAAGTTTTACGACCAATAGATATTGCTGACGTTTATCGTACGCACACTACGTCACGTATACGTATACGCAAAATGTTTTCATCGGGGAAAAAAACTTCATACCGGAAAATTTTCCCGATGAAAACAAATCACTGACACAATCATACTTTAGCAATCTCTATTGCTGTGCGGAAAATCGGTGTGCGTGATTATGGACGATGAATCATACGTTAAAATTGATTACAAAACTCTTCTTGGTGATCACTACTACACCGTTCGTGATGACCGTGATGATTTTTTTCCGAAAAATTCGGTAAAAAGACTATGGGCAAGCCATTTGTGTGCTGCTGGCGCCGGTGGTGTAGTGATAAGCGTGACTGCTTTCTCACCCCAATGGGTCTGGGTTCAATCCCAGCCGAGGTCGGTGAGATTTTTCTGAGGCATAAAAATCTATGGTCACGTCTTCCTTACGAAAGGAAGTAAAGCTGTTGGTCCCGGCCCATGGTGTGTTTGAATGGGTGCTATATCCTACGCAGGTGTGGAAGCTGCCTTCTGCACATTCGATTGTCAATTGATGGCAATCGATGTCCGTCGGTGATTGGCCACTAGATTGCGGAACAGAGACCGACGTTAAATAAAGGAAAGAAGAAGAAGAAGAACCCATTTGTGAGTGTGGTTTGCTTTCCAAACCGTTTGTGACAACGGAGACAATGACAGCCGATGTTTACGTGCGTGAGTGTTTAAACAAGCGTCTGTTACCCATGATCCACAAACACGACACCTCAGTACTTTTTTGGCCCGATTTGGCGTCAGTTCATTACTCCAATAGCCTGGTATAAAGCCAACAAGGTCCAATTCGTACCCAAGGAGATGAATACGCCAAACTGTCCACAGGCCAGGCCAAGCGAAACTTTTTGGGCCCTGACCAAAGCATATTTGCGGAAACATGTAAAGGCAGCGGATTCGTTACAAAGTTTGTGAAAGACTGGGAAAAAGTATCCAAAATTGTTGGACTGAAGCTAATGAGTAGCGTGAGATCAAAAATCCGCTCCTTGGCTTACGACTCGGATTTTCTACATGAACATGAACACGAAATAAAAATCGAATTTGCTGTACACAAAGTTACGTTATTGTTTTTTTTAATCGTGCTTAGACATGCTGCGACACCCTATATTATTAACAACACGTTGATATTTAAGCTTTTTTAAATCTCTTACAGGTCCAAGTTGTACGGGATTCTACGTATATCCGAAATACATTATCTTCAAATACATAAACAAAAAGTTGTATGACAAAGCGTGTACATTCAAATATCTATCAGAGTAGTACAAGTAGGGGAATTTACGTATTCTCGGCAACCTAAGCAGCGACCATCTTTCTATAGCATTTTTTTTCTCATGAACGCACACATATGCAGTATTGGTTTGTGTACAATCTTTTGCTGTCAGCTGCTCTAACAATTTCAGTCGAAATAAAAATAATTATCAAAAACTGTTCAGAAACGCTTCTACAAAGCTTCAAACTTCTCTAGTGAGAGCGACTATTGTGGGCAACATCTTTTTATTCTGCAACCTTTCTATTTGAGCTGCGTGTTAAACAGCTGTGCTTTCATCGGCAACTCGAAATCAGCAACATTTTGTAGTGCGTGTGTTTCATTTCAAGAAAACCCTGCTAGATTGATTTTTCTCAGTGGTAAAAATATAATCAAATTGAAGCTGAAAGCCTAAAGAATCGTTTGAATGCATTCAAGAAAGTGTTTTCGTAAGAAAATCCAGTGAAATTAGCGTTTGAATTTGGGTTGCCGAAGCCGTCATTTTCCCTATATCATTTATCGCTATCAACATACACTCAAAAAAATCCACACGTTCCATTCATGTGTTTTCAAATATGAATTTTGCCATTTGCCAGTCACCATGATATCATGTGAATTACATTCGCATTTCATGGCATCAATGTCCAAAAATCACATGTCCTAGCTGTCGGTGAAATCAAAACAAACTACACCATAATTTCATGTGTTTACTTATTGAAATTTATGGGACCTCCGTATATGATCTGTTCTAATGTTTTCTACTATCGTATTTAACGTGTATGGATCTCATCAGTAGCAGGACGAGTGTCAAAAGAATTATTAAACAGAGTAACAATCAATGCCAATGTATGTTGCTGCTACAGTACACTTACGAGAGATTCCAGGTACCCCACAATATTAAGTTACGCTTTAATTTACTGAATATTTTAGGTTTCATTAGACATCATCTTTAAAACAGAAAAGTGATTAGAAATGGTAAGTAAATCCTATTGACTGAAAATAACATCAAAAGCTGAGAAACTGTACATCTCCATAACTGTCTTTTACAGTATTCTTGGGTTCCTGGATCCTGGTGTAGTGACGCAATTGGAGACAGCTGCAGTGTTTTTTTTTATCTATTGTGAATTAATAATAAAAACCATTATCATTAAATGAAATGAAAAATTACTGGGATGAGTTTTGATTCATTTTCAAATGTAAGATACACGAACCAGATATTTTCGATAATATACTTGTGAATGAGGGAAATTTGATGATTAAGTGTCAAACTTTCGATAACAAAATATTAGACACATGAAATCCAAGTGTATCACAATTGAACTTATAGTTTTCGAGAATAATATCTATTATATGATTCACACATGAAATGCATGTGTTTCACAATTTGCGCAAATTGAAGTGAGGAACACATGAAGGTAACGTGTGGATTTTTTTAAGTGTATAAATAACGTGTAATGCTCAATACATGAAAGAATTATTAGGGTCCATTAAAATGTTACGTAATGCAAAAGATTGCTTTTAAATACTATCCACCCCTACATAACGTACTTGTCTTATACTTAATAGAAGGGTTGTAACCAGGGCTGGCAAATGTAATTTTCAATGAAAGATCTCACGCGATATTTACAGAGATACTTCTGTCACTATCATCAGATGAGAAAACGATGATAGAGATTTTCTTCAAAATCTCATCGATTTTTTTTTGTCATGACAGAACGTGACAGTGTTGTAATCATCGTGATTACTAGCTCATTTATCGCTATTAAAGTTACTTGTACCGAGGAAATTTTAATAATATATTCACTCTTCTCGATTACATTCGGTTGCTTGCTTAAATTCATCTAAATCAGTTAGAAATGTTAATGTAAGAACCGCATGAGAATTATTCTCATGAGTGCTTGATCATTGGAAAATGAGAAGAAAGCTAATGATAGGTAGTTTCGTCTCGTGATAGTGAGAGGACCTGTTTTCTCATTGTCACATGACGGACGTGATATTTACCAGCTCTGGTTGTAACACTTTGCAATACGACTCCACCAACAAGCACTTGACATACTTTCCTAATCAAATTCCGCATGTACGGCCAATGAGAACGATTCAAAATTGAGTAAGAGTTACTCATATTTGAGTTCAGGTTTTGTTGTTGTTGGGGAGTCGAGTAAAACCACTGCATCCATTATTTGAACTTTTGTGGTACCCATATTTGCTCTTTTTATCATGCAAACCGACCACTATTTAACGAGTGGACGGCTAATTGCCTGGACACATCTTTTCCCAGTCCGGAATAATATTGTTTATAAAACCAACTACCTTTCCAGGATTTGCAGACTAAATTTCACTAGGTTGTAAGCTAATACTTCCAAGAAATTTAGATCTACGCTTGTGTAATGCACCACAACTGCAGAGCAGATGATCCGAGGTTTCACGTTCCAAATTACAGAAACGACAGATATCACTCTGAACCCGACCAATGTTCTTCATGTGATATCTACTAGGGCAGTGCCCAGTTACTTGGCCAGTATATATACTAAGAGCTTCTTTTCTGGTGTATGTTATATTAGGAGTTATAAATCTTTTCGACTGGTTGCAGTTTGTGACAGTCATTCAATTGGCCATCACGCTTTGCTCTTCCTAGCATTTGAGTTCTATTTTTACTAAACAGTATAATATTCCACAATATGGTTCTGGGCCAAACAACTGTGCATT